AACTTTTAACAGTCATATTAAAAACGTTAGTCGGAAAGCCCAAAATATTTATAAACAATTGTCACGAGCTGCAAAAATCCAATGGGGCCGTTAACTCGGAGATTATCAGGACTATGTATCTGGCTGTAATAGAACCGGTGGTCTTGTATGCGGCAAGTGCTTTTACGCCGGAGAACAATAAGGTCCAAGCAAGAAAACAACTTAATCTGGCGCAACGCGGCTTCGTGCAGAAGATCGTTAAGGCGTACAGAACCGTATCCTTGAACTCGGCTCTTATACTCGCACGGTTGCTTCCATTGGACCTTAGAGTCCGGGAAGCAGCCTAACTTTATGAAATAAAGAGAGGTCCTTTCTGGTGAGTTATCGGGGATCGAGACTTGGAACGGCCTGTCGCCTTTGTTAAAACACCGCATCCCACAAAGCAAACAGGAATAGAATTCGTATGCCTGGGGGACGGTGCAGAGATACCCCAACAAAGTACGGAACTTAACATCTTTACGGACGGAAGCAAAATAGAGGGGAAAGTTGGCGCAGCGCTATCCATAAGAGATGGCGCTGCGGAAATCAGTACCAGAAAACTTAAGTTGGGGAATTATTGTACCGTCTACCAGGCAGAATTGCTGGCCCTGTTAGAAGCTACTAAAGTGGCGATTAGGGAACCTGCACGAAGCTGCAATATTTATAGCGACTCAAGATCTGCTCTGGAAACTGTCAGTCGCGGCGATTCCCTGCACCCCATGGCTGTAGAGGCAAGGGAGAATATCGCAAACCTGAGAAATCAGGGCGGTTCCCTTGCCTTCTACTGGGTAAAAGCCCACGTGGGGGTGGAGGGAAATGAAAGAGCAGATTTCCTAGCAAAGGAAGCCGCACTCAAGACCAAGACAAGACCACAATATGATAGGTGTCCGGTTTCATTTATCAAGCATGAAATCCGCCAGGATTCGCTCAGGGAATGGAATCGGAGGTATCAGGAGGGAGCAACTGCATCAGTCACAAAAACATTTTTCCCTGATGCCATAAAAGCGTATCACACAGTAAGAAAACTAGACATAGACCCGATGACGACACAGATACTGACGGGTCATGGCGGGTTCTCTGAGTACTTGCATCGTTTTCGGTGCAGAGAGAGCCCGTTATGTGACTGTGACATAGGACAAGAACAGACTGTCATTCACCTACTCACCGAATGCCCCATATATGCTAAGGACAGACTAGATCTTGAGATAGAGTTCGAAATTAAAATAAATAATATTAGTATACCGAAATTAATTGAAAATAAAAATAGCAGAAATAAATTTATTAAATATTGCAAGAGAATAGTAGAAAAAACAGTGAATAAAAATAAATGATGAAAATAAAAATGGGAATTCTTAACATATACTCTGTATATGATAAGAACCCGAAGTAATAAAGTATGTGTAACCGGAAACTAGCAAAGTAAGACTAAGTAAGCGAAGATAGAAAATTGAACTGTACTTTCCTTGGTTAACACACAAAACATGTTAGATTTAAGAACATAAAAGTAAGGAAGTTACGAATATAATATAGTATAAATAGAAAAAAGGTTTAGTGTAAGAAGTAACAACTGTTAAGTGACGAGACGCCATCTTGGATTAATATAAAACCTACAACTCTGAGACGGAACGACCGAACCTAGTCGTGATTGGGTTCGTTGGAAAGAGGAAAATAAAAGAAAGCTATCTAAAGTAAAATTAGAGTCGCCGCCATCTTGAAAATTTTACATAGCTATAAAAGCTGTAAAAATTACAGTAGACCGGCCGAGTTTGGACTCAAATGAGTGATCTAGATCCACCAAGTCAGTACCAGGCCTAGTCATAATCAGCGACTCTCCTGTAGATACACGGGATCTCTACATAGAGTAAATACAGAAAAGTAGGAAAAATAATTAGATGATTAAATAGTTATCACTGACGGTCAGAAGAGCTGATCTTTATATATTGACCCCACTTTGGGTGTGTATGTTAAATAGACAATAGGTGCCTGTTAGCGACACATAATATATTGTACGACTTGTATTTTGTAAATTTAGCTACATATTTAGTTATAAAATTGATTCTATCTACCGACGAGTTAAATAGAACATATATATAGATATATAGACCACCCTACAGGATAGGGGAAGAACGAGAGCTCTAGTAGAGTATAGATACATTAAGAATAAAACCCTCCTATACCTATACATATAGGAGGTATATATAGATATATTTGCCATACTTAATTAGTTCAGTATATACTTTTACATTTTACACAGTAGACGCTTTTCCCTAATATGTTTGGAATCCGAACTCCCATGAAAAAGGCGCAGGCAGAGAAGGAGAGAAGCCCACCCACCAGATCAGAGATGGCAGGACCATCTCAAAGATCTGAGGAGGATAGCGCTAAGAGTAAGGTGAGAAGGAGCATTGGAGAGTGGGAGAGAGAGGGGAGAGAGTCGGAGCCCAAACCAACGGGTGGGAATAAACAGATTCCGGCGGCACGTACGAAGCAGGTTGTGGCGCCCACTACGAGTAGAATGTCTACCTCAAGTGAGGCAAGCCCACCCGAAAAAACTAAATATGTGGACAGAGTTGCCGAGGCAAAGGCTTGTCTAAATAAGGCCAAGCTGTACCTCAGCAACTCGAGAAACCTAAGGACCGATATTAAAAACGAGGTTACTCAAGTAATCGATAGGCTTTACCAATTAGTAAAGGAAGCAGAGGCCGAAAGAAAGTTGGAGGAGGAAAGAAGAAGAAAGGATGAGAACAAGGAGTTGGAAAGCACGGAGATGATGGTAGAAATACAAGGGGAGAAAAAAGTAGAGGCAGAAGATAAACTGATTAGGAAATTAGAAGAACACGGAAAGCTGATAGAGGAAAATAAGAAGGAGATGATAAAGATGGGGGAAGCCATAAGGGAATGCCAAAACGACGGAAAAATACCCACATATGCCACCGTAACTGCCGGAAAAACAACTAACGCCCTACCGAGGAACACGGCTACCTTTTCGGTCGCTGTAACCTCGGCGGACGAATTAGAAACAGGGGACCAAGTACTGGAGAGAGTAAGAAACTCGATTAACGCAAAAGACGAGGGCCTCAGGATTGATAAGATAAGGAAAGTAAAGGATAGGAAAATCATAATAAGTTGTAGTACACAAAAAGAGTTAGAAAGAGTAAAAGAAAAGATAAATGGAAAACATACCAACCTTACAGCAGAGGATATAAAAAATAAGGATCCACTCATAATCCTCAAAGACGTCATGGCGTACAACACCGACAGCGACATCCTTAAAGCAATCAAAAACCAAAATAAACACCTGTTGGAGGGGGTGAGTGTGGAGGACCTGAGAATGGAGGTAAAATACCGCAAGAGAACCAGGAACCCACTCGCCACTCACGTTGTACTCATAGTGTCGCCGAGGTTATGGGGGCTTACGACACAAAACGGAACTCTTCATATAGATATGCAGAGGGTGCGGGTGACAGACCAGTCGCCGCTTGTGCAATGTTCAAAATGCCTGGGGTATGGGCACACGAGAAGGCTATGCACGGACACGGTGGATGCATGTAGTCACTGCGGAGGCCCACACCTCAGAGCAGAATGCCCAGAATGGACAGCAGGTGAAGTACCATCTTGCAGAAATTGCACGAAAGCAAAGCACGACCAAAGGGACCACAATGCGTTCAGCGCAGAGTGCCCGGTCAGGAAAAAGTGGGACGCCTTGGCGAGGGCATCTGTAGCTTATTGCTAAGGTGACTCCCAAGTCGCCCGCAAAACTGACCGGAAATGTGAGGTGTCGAACCAATCAGGGTAAACTTCAAATAACTAGGTTGAAGATCTACCGCATAGCACCAAATAAGGAAAAACCAAACAGAGATTTGGAGTACCCTGAAATAAATGGTTTGACACTAAGCAATAGCATGGAAGTGAGGGACGTAGAGTGGTCGAAAAAGCGCAACTTATTAAGATCGGGGCTGATGTGTCACTTTCACCACCAAATAAACAGGGAAACTCAGCCCAGACTTGGCCAAGGTGATGCAGCCGGAGTATGGACAAATACCGAGAAAACCGAGTCTGCTAAATTATTAAATAAGAAGGGGCCGGGAAATAAAAACACCGAAATAAAGTACGGTACTAAAAGGAGCCAAGCTAAGTTGTATCATCAGGGCCAAGTTATAAAAAGTGGGAAGGGAAACTCTGTAGGAGAAGTAAAAGTTAAGAGTATAAAACTGGAATTGTATATGACATACAGCACCAGGTTTAGAGGACTTAAAACTATCGCACTTTGAAATAAACTAATGCTCTCGTTCTTAACCTATACTTCCGGATAGTCTACACATATTAAGAAGAATAATGATTAATGTACGAACATATTATAATTAAATGTAAGACTAAAGTAGTAAGTAAATAAAATAGAAAGAATATCTTGATAAAAGAGTAAGGCAAATATTAAAATTAAGAAAACACTTGTAATTGTAATTATACAAATTTTTGTACAACTTACAATGCAACTATTAATAGAATGTAAGATTAGTAGTAGATCAAGTAGAGATATATAAGTAGTATTAAGACTAATGAGATAAGAAACCAATGTTAATAGAATAAGTAATGTGTAGATATAAGAAAAATGTATCCAGTTTAAGACAAAGATAACTAATGTAGTAGTAAGGTAAAGTAATGTAAAATATGTTATATACGAAAAGAATGTATGTTTAAAACATTGAAAAATACTTTAAAAACTTTATGAAAAAACCAGAAAAATTGTAAACAAGGTCCCTGACCCACCCATATCAGGGGAAAAAAAAAAAAAAAAAAAAAAAACCTTCCTTCGCTACATAGCTTTTTGCTGTGGCCATATCCCAGGCAACGGGAGCACTGTATAAGTGGCGACTGGTCATAGACCCGGACCCTCTGTAGGTCTACATGGATCACCTCATTGTTCATCATGATTCCCCAAATTTTTGGAGACACTTTCATCACGATGTGAGAGGTGAGCGGGCTTCTCGTTCTTTTTCGGAAAATGATGGGCATCCTTCTTTCCTCTTCGCCCACCTGTTCTAAAAGATGGCTGTTTTGGTGGTTTATGGCTTTTATAATTTCTTCGTCAGAATTATATTCATACCGTTTTCGCTCAGTTGGACAGGCACGGCTCTGGAACCGTCCCCAAGACACCGGGAATAATTTATTTCCGGAGAAAAAGTCAAATTTTCGTCCGCCCGCCCGCCCTCTCGTTCTAGATTACTTAAGTAGACTTTATACCTGAGAAAATCTGAAATCGGAAATTCACAAAACTTTCTTCGGAATCTTGTAAAGCTTGACCTCAGTAGCCATCAAATCTAAAAATCGCTTTCATATATTAATGATCAACCTTCTAAAAAACTTTTAAAACAATTTAAACAAATAAATTGGAAAGGGAGTATAAAAACGTACCAGGTGACGTCGTCAGGGAGCTGAATTGCAACAGCCTTATTTTATGACCTAAGGGATAAACGGGAAGACGTTTTACCCTATAGTTTTACATTAATATACAAGTCTAGTAAGACCCTTATATTATTATATGAGGATATATTGACAAATAAAAAATTTATTTTGACAGAAGACAATATTGATTGACACAGGCAGACACCTCTTATAACTATATATATAAGAGGACATAGAAAACATTGTCACTTTTGACAATTACACTATATCCACACTTTTCCAACAAAAAACACTTATATATTACTTTACACTTTCCCCGTCAAAATGTTCGGGATCCGTACACCAATGAAAAGGACTCAAGGAGGAGACATAGAACGAAGCCCACCACAAATTGTAGGACCATCTCAGAAGGAACTACACGTTATAAGTGCGAAGAAGCATTGGAGAGGGGGAAAAAGATGGGAAGGAATCGGATCCCGCAACTCAGGGACGGTTGACTAAGCAAATCCCGGCTGTCCGTACAAAGCCAATAGCTGGCTCTTCGACAAGTAGAACATCATTTGAAAGGGAAGGGGGCTCACCAGACAAGGTGGCTCCTAAGTACGCAGATCGAGTTGCCGAGGCCAAAACCTGCTTGAATAAAGCCAAGCTCTACCTTAGCAATTCCAGAAACTTGCGTACGGACATAAAAAATGAGGTCACACAGGCAATCGACAGGCTCTACCAGCTGGTTAAGGAAGCGGAAGCAGAAAGGAAACAAAAAGAGGGAAGTCAGGGAAACAACCAGGATAAACAGGATAAAGAGGAAAACCTAGAAAACAGGATGGAAAGAGTGAGTGAAAAGGAAATAGAAATGAAAGATAAGTTAATAAAAAAGATTGAAGAACACGAGAAAATTATTGAAGAAAACAGAAAAGATATGGCAAAACTAGGAGACATGTTAAAGGAACGGGAAATTAGGGAAGAAAAAATGACCTACGCCAAGGTGACAGCTGGGACGAGTGTAAACATACCACCGAAACAGGTGGCGACACACTCGGTAGTTATTACATCGACGGATGACATGGATACAGGGGATCAGGTGGTGGAAAAAATTAGGAAAGTAATAAATGCGCGAGAAGAGGGGTTAAGAATTGATCGTATACGAAAGGCGAAAGACAGAAGAGTAATTGTAGGATGTAGCAGCCAACAGGAAATTAAAAAGATTATGGACAGAATAAATGAGGAAGGGACACATCTCACCGCGGAAGAAATTAAAAATAAGGACCCACTGGTGGTTTTGAAAGACGTCATGAGCTACAACACCGATGACGACATATTACAGGCCCTTAAGAAGCAAAACCAACATCTTCTAGCTGGAGTGAGTGAGGAAGACCTGCGCATGGAGGTCAAGTACCGGAAAAAGACCAAGAACTCCCTCACCTCCCATATAGTACTTAAGGTGTCGCCACGGCTATGGAGGCTCATGACTGAAAACGAAATACTCCATATAGATCTCCCAAAGAGTGCGGGTGGCGGACCAATCTCCATTAATTCAATGCTCCAGGTGCCTGGGGTATGGGCACACAAAAAGACTCTGCACCGAACAGATAGATACTTGCAGTCACTGCGGAGGCCCACACCTCAGAGTGGAGTGTTCAGATTGGATCGCGGGCGAAACACCTATATGCAAAAATTGCACCAAGGACAAGTACGAACGTAGGGACCACAAAGCATTTAGCGCTGACTGTCCAGTTAGAAAAAAGTGGGACGCCTTGGCAAGGTCATCCGTGGCATATTGCTAAGGTGGCCTCCAAGGGACCTGCAAGCCTGACCTCAAAAGGAAGATATCATGCCTCACCGGGAAAACTTCAAAGTGCCGGACGAAAAAGATATCCTATAAAATTAGGCAGGGTAAATACGAATGGCGCCTTGAAGAACTTGGATTTGAGTGGCAGGATATCAAGCCGACACTCGGATGCGTCAGGTGCATTTTGGACAAGAAACCGGGATCCAACAGGAGCAGGTCCGGAGACACTTAGTAAACAACAACAAGTGACTAGACAGCCTCGCTCGGACTTGAACAGAGTTATGCTATCGACATGGAACTGTAACTTTAGGAACTATGAAGTCAAAACTAACACCTGAAAACTGGAACATATTAGTGCTCTATATGGACCAGTTTTCCGCAACCTCAATAGAAGTCAGGCTCGCGTGAAGATGCATACCTCGTTCAAGCTGTATGAAACGGGAGGAGCTGACGTGTCATAATATAGAAGTAAGAGCCTCATTTTTAAATAACAAGTCCAAAAGAAACTAAGCACACAAGAGCGAAAAATGAAGAAGAAAAAAGTAGGTAAATCAAAAATCCAAACAAAGTTAAAAGAAGTATTGAGTAGCATATATATCAGGATAAATTAGAGAAACAGTAATACAAAAGAAGTGTTAAATATAAAATTGTGCACGTACATAGTATGTATGGAGACACAATTTTAGTAGTAAAACGAAGCAAAATAAGAAAAAGAAGAAATCACAGATATAAAACATAAGATTTAATAAAAAGTAAAAGACATAAGACAAAAATTTCACGGAATAAGAGTGTCCAATGAAATAACATAAATATAATAAAATGAAGACACCCGTAAGAAATAAAACTACATGGAGAAGCAAAACAGGAATAAAAATGTAAAGAAAAGTGAAACAATAAGTCCAAATCGCCAGGAATCCTAGATTTAACATAATAACAAAATAGAAAATAAAACAATTTTGAAAACAAGGGCCCTGATCCACCCATGTCAGGGGAAAAGTGAATATAACAAAAAAAAAAAAAAAACAAACCGCATTTGCTTTAATTGCAATAATTTTCAAGTCTTTATTCCTTTTTTTGTTATAAGCAGATAATTAAGATGGATTAGATGAATACATCGTGCTAATAATAATGTTAGCATCAATTGATGCTGCTGTTCAATTGATGTTGATTTGGTGTAATTTCAGTGCCTGAGTTTCGGTGCGCTAGTGTTATCTACCTCGTATTTGTTTACAATATCATTTGGATGTGCCCCTCGATACCGGAAAAAAAAGGATAATAAAATCAAAGAAAAAACAAATTGCAAATATTGCATGCAAGTTAGACAAATTTAATGGAACAATATAAAAGTACAAAAATAATAGTACAAACTTTATGATAACATAAATGCTACTGATCTTTGGTCTCAACATGCTTAATAGTCACAAGTCACCTACATGACTATATTATGAAATATAAACTTAGTACCTTGGTTTTATTAATAATGACTATAACTGTGACATTAACTTTGTGGTCTAGATCACGTTTAATATTACGTGGACAAAACTGTTGGTAAGTTGATCGGTAACTCTAATTTTAATAATAATAAGTCAAAGCCGACTTTACCCAAAGCACGAAGAAAAACCTTTCCTTTTTTTTTGTAATTAGGAAATCTTCGGCGTGAATGTGCAGAGCAAAACGCGACCATCTCTCTCCAGGATGACACAGGAGCCACTGGCACCTTCGAACCTTACGGTGCGGGCATCCCCATCCTGAGTGAGAGTGACACTGTACTGCTCTGCAGAACGCAATGTGCTGTTTGCGCGTATTATATAAGCCTCGAGCGGATCCGTAGGGTGCTTGAACACGTGGTATGCCGCCGACACAGTGCTACCGAATTTGACGTCTATCCTCCGCAACGCCGCTACCAATTCTGTATCGCTCAAGTTCTTCGGCAACACTTCAATTCCGACCATTTCACACCTAGTGACTACATCCGTCAACTGTCGAAACTTCTGAAGCATGGCATTGGGGTTGTGAAATACGACCTCTGTGGCCTTCTTTCCTGAAGAAATATGTTCAGAGAATGCAAAATGTTAACAAGTTTATCGCTAACAGTGGCGTAGCTATATTAGGGCCAGGTGGTGCAGTGCACCAGGGCCCCACAGCTAAGAGGGCTTTAATCTTATCTTTAAAAAGAAAGGAACAACCAGCTTTTTTTTTATGTTAACTGAACAATAACAATTACAAAACTCTTAATTTAAGACTTTCAACGCATGCGCCAAGCGTCTTTGATAAGCATGTGCTATTTTTTAGCATTATTTGATTCAGTATGTTTATAACACATTGGATCAGCGATAAGCTCATGTACGGCCGTGAGATCAAATCCACCCATCAACTTTTTAGTTTGCCTTTCTTTTCCTGGCATGTGATCTCATCTACGTAATATATTCAATGCAATGCATAGAAATCTTTGGGTCGGACGATAACAGTTGTTGCAAGGTGTATACATTAAGATAACGATTTATAAAGGGTTTGTGTAATTTGACCATAATAATAAGATAAGTATTAAGTCGGAAAAATCCTGCCCTCTGAGAGCTATCTTGGCGTGCGCTGCATAAACCGTTGGAGTTATATGAATTTATGGTGGAATTGTTTATCTTAAACAATTCTAAATAAAAGTGACAGCATATATCAACCTTATACATGGAAGTGAATAGTGCTCGGGTATTCGGGACTGCAGGCATTTATCAGATAGAGTAAAGCAAAATATTTCCTCGAAAGCATTCACAGAGGTATGTGCAGTATACGCAGCGGAGACAAGTTATTTGACATCGAGAGGATCTGAGTGAGGAAAGAAACCACGGAAATTTTCTTTCAATTGTACCACTCATTCCTACATACGATCACATCTTGTGTCAAGTTTTGGAGATGCCTAAAGGTAAGAAATGAACTTGTTTGCTAAATTTATAATAAGTGTTTTCATAATCTAACCTTTTCTAATATTTCTTATGGTTTTGAATTTTGTAATGCTTTTGAAATGTATTCACAGCAATCACAATATTTCTTTTACAACACGATGCATGTGAAAACTTAACACGGGAAGATTTGAAATGTTAATAATAAGACGCGGGAAGTCATAGTCAAGGATTGGGTGCGCGATGTTGATTGATTCTATATGCTATCAAGAATCAATGATAAATCAATAGGATTGCTCACTATCAGATTCACTATTAAAGGCCGGTTTCAATATTCTATCTACAGATAGATTTGTTTACTGGAGTTAGAATTTTGACATAAGTATTATGGAACTAACGTCAAATGCTATCGTTAGAAACCAAATACCTATATCTGTAAATTTAATATTGAAACCGGCCATACATCGTTTTAATCAAGCCTTTCACAACACAAGTTGTATTAGTATAACAACTATAATTCTAATCAAGCTTTTATTTACGGACAATAGTGATATCGGTAAAGTGCCTGGACGCCCGGAAGACCAAGGTTCGAATCTCTCAGCACTGAAACATTTTTTCTACCAAAATATCACATTTTATTCGATCAAGATCAAATCATATCAATTTTTCTAGATAAATAGGCGGCGCTTGGTCTTGTGACATACCTAATTGATATAATTAATGTGAAACAAGAACTTTTTTAATGCTATGCTGACAAATAAAAAATAAGTAAACTTACTCGTCCACTCTGACTTTTTTACATTAATGGGCAAGGTCAGGGTACCATTTCTCAGCTTTTTCTCTACCAAAAGCTTTTCAGTCTCAACGTACTTGACAACAAATTCACAGTACGCGACGATTTCGCTGACACTTTTCGGATTGCGCTCAGAAACAAAATGCATCATTTCTCTCATATACGGTGACGCCTTAAAAGTATCAACGGTGCTTTTGAACGTGTACAGCCTATCTAACTCGTGGCTTTGCAAGTTTGAGGCGATCAACATCTGCAAAACATTTTGATTCTCAACATTGTTTTTCATCCAGCTCAAGCTGTCGTTTCTGTGACACTGCAAGCGCAGCCTGTACTTTTGGACACACAACTTCACTACTTCACCAGGTAGCTTCGCACTGGACAAAGTTGACGGCAGCTTACTGATCAATACGAAGATATTCCGACAATCATCCGCCGAGATCGCATGTAATTTATAGATACTGATATGGAGATGATTGTTTAAGGAGATGACAGCGTGTCCGCTATTTACGATTCTAGTAACAGGACAAACCGTAAACATGCCATTGTTCTGAAGGCTCATAAGAACGGGAATAGACGATGTCCATTGACGGCTGCTATCGATATCCATCCGACTCAAGTGCTCCCCGATGAAACGCACCATTTGTGTTGTCAGCCGTGGCAACTGCTGAATTTTGATGGGCGGAGCTGACCCAAAGACTAATTTACCGTCAGTAATTTTTACTTCCATTCCATTGGACATATTCATTTGGGTAAATTTTTGCCAAAATTTTATCACACCTTCGGTTGCCTCGCGAGCGTTTAAGTTATAATGTACTGCCACTCTATTCAGGCCAGTTATCAAATTCATATCATCATTTACTGTCCTACGGAAGCTTTCGAATATTTCAGTTTGATCAGGGCTTAAATTAGTAATAATGTCGAAGTAATGTTGTCTCACATTCTGAGGCAATGTGTTAAGGAAACTGACTGAGTATTTCTGTCCCCCAGGCAATATCAAATTGCCCGCACCGTCAAACTGAACCCGACCGTAGGCATTAGCATCTAAGATAATCTGAGAAAACTGTGTGATGGATATCCTCGCCTCTGCGGCCCTATGAAACTCGCGCAAGAGACTGGCGTCATTATTAAATTGCTTACGCAATTCTGTTAACATTGATGCTTGCTCTCGGGTGAGCTCTTTATTGATGTGTTTAAATGCAAAATTCTGAGCATCCCTGATGATAGTACTGGCAGTTTTATAAGTAAATAATCCCTTAGTCCAAAATGCAATTGAGGCTATATGCATGAGGATATCACCACCGGACAACTCTTCATGATGATTGCATAGAAAAATTGTCGAATCCAAAATAGCTAAACCACTAACAGCTACGTTTGTTCCATTGGCGACATTAACGAACACTCGGAAAGCGTTAGATATGCTTTGACCTTTGATCGCAAGGGAGGTCAGCCGCATAGAAGCACCCATTGCCCCGAAGCTGACTAAATTGGCCGCTATGCCGAGCCAAAGCATACGAGACTCAGAGTCTGAGAAAGGATTAACACTTTCGCCATGGAGCGTTTTATCTGCTAACTGCGCGCCGGATCTGGCTGTGCCCCAAATCGCACTCGCAACTCCGGTAATTACTAGAGGAGCTGCCAGACCTCCACTAGCGAACAACAACCCGACACCAGAGCCTATACCTGCTACCGCTGAGACAGTGTCTATGGCCCGAACAGCTTTATGATCAGAACGAGCGAAGGGAGTATAGTCTACTAACACGCGAGAGTAATCATATCCAGGGCGCAACATGAGCTGGAGGTTATAAGGATATGCCATTTTGCACGGCGGAAGTTTGCTGTTCTGATACCAATCCGAAAAGGAATTGTAGCTACGGCCGATATTGTCTACGAAGTATTTGTGGCTGTCTTTGTATCGTTGTACTCTAAAAACGGGGAGCTCATACAGCTTGCTATTAAAGTACAACTCAACGGGGATAACTGTAACAAAGTTTTTGTCGTCCCCTTCGCAACAGCTTCTGATCTGCGCCGCTATTACATCAATGGCTTCGCGCGCTTCGCCCTCGAAATAGACCAGCTGGTTATTCAGGGCTAGCTGCAGCTCCCTGTCAGACCAAGAGCTGGGGTCCTTCATTGGGAGTCCCATCGCCATTCCAATTGTATTCAAAAGATCTGTGCCCCCGAGGAGTTGCGGGTTATCACCCTGACATCTTCCTCCCCTATGCAAGTATTTGTCCACATTGTCAATGGCTTTGCTCACCCATTCTGATTCCATAACATCCATTTCGTTAACGATCAGGATCAGAAGGAAAAAAAGTTAGCAAAAAACTTAAAAGTTATGAAATTAATATATAATAATAAAATACTATTTGTCCATTTTCATGACAACATAATCATAATCAACATTAGTATGCAAATGATATGCGTGCCTTCATTCAAACCACCAACAATGCGAAGAGGGAATATTGGAAAGTTTGTCCACCGTAAAAAAATCAGGCTAGTGTCCGGTCTCCGCTCCTTTTTCCGACACTTTGAGCTGGACTCGCCGATTATGAATGAATCACGCAGGGGTTTGCCTTCCTCGTATTTCCTTTGGTAATCTTTCAAATGCTACGAGGAGTTGAAGGACTTTCTTCGGACTATATTTGCACATATTCTCATCACCTGAAATAATAGAAAACATAAAATGTGTTACATTAAGCTACTCGGGCTCATCCATTTAGGGTGTAAATACACATCCTAATGTTCCCCACACTACTCTCTTATAAAAAAAGGTCTGAATATGCAATTGAATTTCCGCATAATTTTGCAATCATATTTATAAAACCATTACAATCAGTGAGGTACTTTTACAGTCTATTTACACTTATAATAATTGTGAGCAGACACTTTGTGCGTGTGATATTTGCACACATGTTACAGTGCAAATGCCACTCATTAAAACTAGGTTCTTATATTTCTATTCTCTGCACTTAAGAAGAAATGTCCATTTTTGTAAAAAAAAATCAGAAATTTTGTCCATTTTTGTAGAAAAATGAACAAAGTTTTTGCCTATGCAAGTATTGAAAGCTGCATCATCCGGGATACACGTCCAACGCTCTAGCCACTGAGCTAAAGGACTTAACACCGTCGAAATTCTCGACGTATTTTATCTACTTTTTCTTTATTATATTTTTAAGCAATAATTGGCGTCATCGTTTTAATCGTAATTGGCGTGTTTCCTTTACAGCAAATGACCACCTTTTCATATAGGTAACATTTTAAAACTAGAGATGACACCTTTTGATGTTTAAGTCTTCATGTAAGTATGTATTAATTTACTAAATAGTAAAACTAAATCTAGTCAATAGAAATTTATTAATATTTATAAAATTTATAATATGATATCTTAAACAGCATAAGAACAAAGGCTTATTATTTTAAATTTCCTATCGTTAAGGACGTATTTGCGAAATCTCGCGGAATCTGAAAAAATAGGGAGATTTTAGGTGCATTTTGCGGCAAAACGAAACTAAACTAAATGTAAGTAATAATTAGCAAATATAGATTGCTCCTTCATCTTCAAATGTAGCTACTTTTTAATCGAACATTTTGGTTTATAATATTGTAAATGAAAATTTTCGTTGCCACGTCACTCAAAATGGACGATATCCTGTTGGGTCTAGGAACATTTTTCTCGTATTTAATAACATATTTTTTTATTTAAAAACTCTTTATGTAAGCACCCATGTTCAACTCAAAAAGGTAGCTAAATTAAGTATCAAAATGTTTGAAATATTTTCTCTATTCCACGACTTGCTCACATCACTCCATACCTAAACCGGCACTGTTAATGAACATGGTCAACCGAAGAACCATTCACCTTGCCACATTGCTTTTCGGGGTAATAAAGAAAGGTGAGCCGTCCTATTTATTTGAAAAGCTAAAATTCTCACAGCGCTGCATTAGGACAGCACCTAGACTAAATTACCCGACGCACCGTACGGCTGTCTTTAAAGGCAGCTTTCGTTTTGCTGCCACAAAGTGCTGGAATGATCTCCCACCACCAGAAGTCCAGCACTTAAGACTTTCTATCTTAACTAATACGAAAACAAACATACTTTCTCGCTCCATCCATAACACAAAAACAAAATCTTCTTCACACAGAACACAAGCATGGCAGGTAAAATAAGTAATGTGTATTTGACTTAAAATAATTTTACCTTTATTATTTATTTTATTGTATCCTATTTTAATTCTTTACGATTATTACGCAGGGCCATCTAACTCTTTTCCCCAAGGTTCCACTGAAAACCAGCATTCACGAAGGTATTTAGTTAAGGATTGGTATTTAGTTTTTAGCATCTATTGTATTTTTTGTTATTATGTGCCAAATAAATGTTTCTTTCTTTCTTTCAAATAGTCTCAGAAAAAAGTAATCATACTTTCTATTCTACTAAGTCTATTTCTTTCACATTTAGATCTTACGCGTGAATCTTAAGTGATTTAAATAAAGGTTATGTTACTGGTCACTTTCTTGATTTAGTTATTCCACAAAAATATGTAAAGAAATATTAGTCTGCGCTCGACTTCCGTCGCTAGTGGACACTGTGTCTCTTGTAAACAGCAGCTCGTGAGGAAAAAGATCGCTGTACGAATACAAAATATTTGTCTTACAAAGTTGATACTTTACACATCCTGTTCGGACTACGAACGACAAGAGTAAAATTTTATTCACACTGTCATCTTTTCACTAGAAGTTAGTAGGGATTACAAATTCATATTTAGTTACGGACTTGATGGAGTGACCTGAAGGTGTACGTCGAGAACTGCTACTTGAACTAACAGACGACATAAGCTATGGGTGTCGAGTTTGGGCTTGTTTTGTTAGCTATGTTGAGACCTTGCCTTCTGACTTGATGGAGTGATGTGAGGGTGTACTTCGAGAAGACTGCTACTGGAACTAATAGATGAAAAGAGTTATTTGTGTCCAGTTTGGGCTTGATTTGCGAGTTTTTTTTTGAGACATTACCTTTGAAATGCATGGATTGACCTGAAGGTGTAAGAATACAGTACAAAAGTTATTTAAAATATGGAACGATGTATTCTACATCAATTCTGTGTATAAATACTTGAGAATAACCTTACCTAATCTACTAATGATCTAGGTCGAAAAAGGCTCCGTGATATATAAAAATGTGCAACCACAAACCTAATTAATTATTAAATAAATGTTCAACCTTATTTTAGCTTAGTTGACAATAATATAAAAAAAATACATAAAGTCGAACATAGAACCTCCTCCTTTTGAAGTCAGTTAATTATAAAAAAGAAATTAATCGATTTCTAATCGATATAAAATTTTAAAAAATTTTCATAATATTTCAATATGGGTGCGTTCCACTAAGCGCCCACAACGATCAAAATGCTCCTTTAGTCGTTCTACATAACGTCTGACGCCATCTAGTATTGAATAGGCGGTTTTATGTTGTCTTTGTTCTTTGAGTGGTTTTACTGGTTGACGCTAGATGGCGCTAGTTTCTTTGTGTTCGTAACAATGTATTAAGTTCATTTTTGGATTTTAATTTCTCCTTTAGAGGTAGTTTCGCGATTTTTTCTATCGAGAAAATATATCGAGAATATGTTTTGAAAACAATGCTCAATACCACTAACCTTAAAAATGGCCACAAACCCAAAAACGAAACTAAAATAAACAGTCAAAATGTCAATACACCAAAACCGTCATCATGTCAGCATAATCACTCAAATAAATATCCGAATACACCCAATCTGAATGATTCTTTAGTGAATTCCTATACTACGACACCTGTTTTACAAAAATACCGAAAATTTGGAAAGAAAATAGACCTTCCCAGACACAGAAATGTCAAAACAAGGAAAAGCCGAAAACATGTATGTTAAGTACGAATTCATACAATAAAACACTGACTATAGCGCAACGTAATTTTTATGAAGACTATAATATATGCTACTATTTAACGCCCGGATTAGGACTCGTACAAGTATTAGAAACCCTACCAAATAAAATTAAAAATTTCACAAAAGAAGACTACTGCATTTTATGTATAGAAGAAAAAGAATTTAACGTCACCGTTGATTATTACAAACTTGTTTTCCAAATTCGGGAAATACTAAAAAGATTGCATCTTACAAATATATTAATATGTCTACCTACATACAAATGTGCAAATTCTAAAAATTTATTTAATTGGAGAGTTGAAATATTTAATCACATTTTGTATATGGATAACATAACGTATGAATATGAATATCTGATTGACTCGAACCTTAAACTTCAGTATGACTATAGGATGTTTCATAAAAACACAGGTAGGATTAATAACTATGCTATAAATATAATTTTTCAATGTATTGTCAATATTACAGAATTAAGAAACTGGCAAATAAATTACGATAAGCAGCAAGAAAAAAACTTAGCTAAAAACGTGCTTTCGCCTCAAACACAAAACTTTTTTCGCCGTCGCCACTCAAAATGAGATCACCACATCGAAATGTAATCGTGCAGGTACGCCGATCGATGATTCCCACCAGCATCTAACAATTTTTCATCAAAATATAGGGAAGCAAAACATAGGCCTTCTCACGAAAAAAGAACTGCTGGAAGTAACGCTATCACAAATAAAGAACAATACAAATCCTGATATTTTGTGCTTCACGGAAACTTTTGTAGAAAACGTTAGTGAAAACAATATACACCTTACCAATTAGCAATTAGCAGCAAGTTTTTCTAGAAGAACTAAAAGAGGCGGTTCCTGCATCATGTTAAAAACAGGAATATCACATACAAAAATTCCAGAATATGACATATTAGGCTGTGAAAATCATTTCGAGTGCTGTAGTACGTTAATTTCAAATTATAATATAATAATAATACGCATTTATAGAATTTCATCAATCATTAAATTAGACTTAGAAATTTTCTTTAATAAGCTAGAATTATTATTGTACAAATTCAATCTTAAATACAAAAGAAAGAAATTAGTAATTTGTGGAGACTTAAATATAAATTTATTGGACATCAATAAAATCACAACAAGATTAAAAGATATAATTGAAAACAACAACTTACACTTTCATATAACTTTACCAACTAGAAAAAAAACCTGAATAGATCACATTATTAGCAACACCAATAATGCATTAGGATCTGTTTACCATTATATCGTTCGGACCATGACACAGCGCAAATATTAAGAATACCCATAAAAGACAAAGTAATCATGCCGCAAATTTATTATGAGTATAAAAGGCGATACTCGGAAG